TTCCCTACCCCACCCCACCCCACCCCACCCCATCCCATCACAGCTCCCTCTCATCTTATCGATAACGATCGGTCGATCGCGCGAATCTGATATACAAATGCGCATCTCGGTAATGTGCGACGACGCGTGAAAAACACGAGTCCACATCGTCATCGCGTAACGTACCCGCGTCTTAATTTTCCTTACTTTTTTCTTACTTTTCCTACTTTCGGCGCGATATTTATACCTCATCGTCCTTGTTTTTTTGTCCCAGGCCACATTTACCTTTGTTTTACAGTAGTTCCACGAAAAGAACGGTAAGTCGCCGCTTAACTCGAGATCCGTAAAAAGTGCGTGAGACCAATCCGCCAAAAGTGGTTATGCCGGTCATCATAAATTGCATACTTCGAGATTGGATTTACGGCGAGAGGGGCGCAAAAAAATTGAGACCTTCGTATCTGCTCGGAAATGAAATTGTTACGTGCATCAAGATTGTATTTGTTTACTTTAATCGCCCATGGTGTGCCGGACTTTCGACACTGAAAACTGATGTTTCAATTAGCAAATGCGTCACTCTGGATTTAGAAATTCGAGGAAAATGAAAAGAGACGATTGCACGCTAACAACCGATGTTTTGTCAAAGTTAAATCGACAGTAGAATATGATGACATTGATGAAAATAGCGTAGATGCGAAGAATGAAATTTTAGAGGAAAAATAATTGAGGCACAAATATTCGTGAAAAATTTTCGCATTCTCTTCATTACTATTCTCATCATTATTTTCAGCTGAATTAATAAAATAATCAAACAAACAAATATATATATATATATATATATATATATATATATACGTATGCATATAAAGCTATTTGTAATATATAATATAAAAATGTACAAGTACGAAATACAAAGTACGCGACAAGAATCGTACAATGATATTGTTGTTTGAAAGATTTCAAATATTATGGTACGTAGGCCAATATCGATACTGATCAACCTCAACACTTTACGAGCTCTTATCTGAAATGACATTTTGCAAATTCCAAATAATAGGATGATAAAACATTGCCCATATTTTAATCGAGCTGCGTGTATACATAAGTATTTGATAAGGAGACTATTGCGCGAATAAGCGTTTGCAGCACTCGGCGGCATTCACGAAAGCAATAGAAAACTTTCGCCGCTGTTTTGTCCGCATTAGGGTTCGAGCCAAATGGACGCGCGCAACATTTCATACGAAATACTCGAACGATTAAAGTGACGGTCGAGCTCGTTTGTGATTCAGAGCCAGCTTAAAGTCAACGACAGTCCAACGAGATAACCATCGAGCCCCTCATTGACAACAAATTGTCGCCCAAGTGCTGTCGCTAAATGGGACGAATTGCGCGCACTCTCAGGAACAGGCGGCGGCACATGTGTGAGAGAATCCAACGTCAGCGGCCAACGACGAGCTTCGCCGCCGTCAAATTAGTCAACGCAAGTACCCGAGCGAACAAACGCTTCTAATAATCCCGATCGCGCACTGGCTGCCTTGGTATCGCGGACTTCCACCCACAAGCGGGACATGCAACGTTGGCCATTGGCGCGATTTACCTGAGCTCGGCCGCTCCTCCAGGAATGCGGGTACATCATCCCCTCGGTTTGAGGCGCCTCGGGCGTCGTTGCACTGGCACTTAAAATTCGTCGAGTGTATCGGTCACGTGTATTAGCACCGCCTCGTCACTCGCGCACTCAAACGACCTCGCGTAACGTGTAACTGGTTGCGTTATGGACCGGCATTCGCGAGACGCCGGGCTCCTCTCCGTCGGCAGAGTAAGAGTCGCCGGGGCCTGTACGCGAGTTGCGCGCGGGCTTACCTGTGAGGTAAGTAAAGTGCCGGCGCGTTCGCCGTGTTACGGCATTGCAACTCGCTTGCTCGGCGTGTAGCCGAGCAACGGGGAAAGGGGCGAGCGAGCGCAGGGATACGCTGCGGGCTCCTCTCTCCCTCCCGCCCTCATGCCAGCGCGCACTCACGGGCTGCGGAGAGAAAGGGACGGAACGAGAAGGGAGGAGGGAAATCACGAGCTGGTCAGTTCATCGAGGGAGAAAGAGAAAGAGGGAGGGAGAGTGATGAGAAACGAGGATCGTGCGCTGCGGAGAAAGAGGACCGGCGAGGGAGCGAGACGGAAGTAGAAAAGGAAGAAAGAGACGGAAGCGACGGGCCGAGATAGAGTGGATAAGGGACGGCCGGGGGATCTGGCGAGAAGGGGGAAACGGCGAGGCGGGCGCGCCGCGAGGGCCGGCGGGAGGAACGGAGCGTTATGGAGGGGGCAGTGGTGGCAGCGGAGGCGGGGGGGCGATGGACGAGGGGCGAGCGGGGAAGACACACAGAGAGAGAGAGAGAGAGAGAGAGAGAGAGAGAGAGAGAAAGGCAACTAAACATTTAAGAAAGAAGGAGAGAGTGTGTACGTGAGTGTGCGCGGGGACGATGCTCAGGACACGTCTGCAATCGTCTGCAAGTTCGCGCGCTCCCTCGCGATTATTGCACCGGCTGCTCCTGATTAATGGACGATGCCTCCTCCTCCTCCTCCTCCTCCTCTTTCTCCTTTTCCACGATCCCTCATTTTACCCCTTTGAATCTTCCGCGATTTCTAGTTTTCGAGGTTCTTGGCTCCTAAGCGCTGCAACAGCAGGGCATGGAATAATCTGCTTGGCGTGGGTTACCCACCCGAGTTTTCCGCCGCGTAAAATTATTTCGTGCTTCAACGAAGCAACTCGCGAGAACTTAAGCAAAAGGGCTTCGTGTGTTGGACGTGCACTACTACTACCTGAAAGCTACGTCAAAGCTAATAAGATTTTCTTTGATAAAGTTGTCAAAAATGCTTTGAGACTCTTTTCCACGTTATAAGTGTAGCTACCTGCAAATATTCTCTATTAACTGATTGAAGTTGTTACTTTTGAGATGCATTTATTTCATTAATTCTCGTGCTCCCGTACACTCTAAACATAAATTAGAGATCGTTGCTCAAGGGCTAATTGACTTAAAATACGTATAACATTACCTTTCACTAGTAGAGATGAAACAGTAAATAAAGTATATTAATATTTATGAAGCTTCGTGCTATTATTCAAATTATTGAAAAAGCAAAAAAAAAAAATTTCCAACGTAAGCGATTATTTTTTTTTTAATTTTGTTTTTTAATTTTTTTTTATTATTATTGGTGACAATCGGTGTACTTTTCCAACGACGAACGATGGCCAATAGGCCAATAGAGTGGAAGTGAATATTCGCCTACGAAATTGTTAACCAATTTTGAAAATGGAATTATCTATAGTACGCTTAGCCGTGGTGAGGCGTCAGATGCTTCTCATTGCAGTCACAGCCTAAGAAACGCGGAGAGTGAGTGAACGGGGTAGCCGGAATGATCGGTTAGTGGGGGGCATTAGCGGTCGTGGAGAAAAAGAGGGAAGGAGTGAGAGTGGGACGGAGCTCGGTTGAATACCTATACGTAAGAAAGTTACGTCGGGAGAGAAAGAACGAGAGAGTGAAGAATCACGACTAGCGGTCGGAAGGGAAAGACAGAGAGAGAGAGAGAGAGAGAGAGAGAGAGAGTGAACGAGCGTGCGCGAGAACCGCTGGTAAAGGCGGAGGAGGAGGAAGAGGAGGAAAGAGCAAACGTTGCCGAGCGGCCGGCAAAGTGGGAGCGAAGAGGGGTGGGGCAGAGGGTGGATGGAGGGGAAGGAGTGGACCAACTGGGTTCACCAGCGACGATAGGTTCATTGACCGAGAAGTGCCGAGGAGGCCCGAAGCGCACACAGTTCGCGTTCTTGCCTCGGCGTGGCCACTGCTCTGCTCCCCATGGATTTCTTACTCTCTCTCTCTCTCGCACTCCCTCCTCTTTTTGCTCTCTCTCTCTCTCTCTCTCTCTCTCTCTCCCTCTCTCACTCACGTCCCTTCTCCCTTCCTCGCGCGGACTATGCACTCGTGCAGCGTTCGATGCGTTACCATCGCATGCACATCTCTTGGCGATATACGTATGTTGTTTTTCTTGATTATTGAGGTTTTCTTTCAGAGAAATAATGTAGATGAAGATACTCGGATTACTCTATGAATTCTTTCGGTCAAGTTGTGTTATTTTTATTATCTTTTTAATCTTATTATAGCTTATGAGAAATATAATAATGCAGTGACTTCGATTTTGATCGATTTAATAATTTTCATTTGAACGAATGAAAACTTGAGAGCACCCAGAAATTTGTGATTCGTATAGGCACGTACGTACATACCTACACACAGTTAAGCAAAATTCATACGTACTTGCATATAGATATAAATACATATATAAATAAATACATACATACGTATACACTTATTCACACACACACACACACGCGCGCGCGCGCGCGAGCATGCACACATACCAACACACACGTGTTTATATTAAATGTATGTGTGCATGTATGTGTATACATATGTATATAGAATATATATATATATATATATATATATATATATGCATACATACACATGTATAAATTTCAGAATGAATAATCGACGATACAAAAGAGGAATTCGAATTCGAACAATAATAAAAAAAACTTTTACTTTTATTGCGTAATTATTATTTTCATTGTGACATTCAAAAACATATTTATTCAAATAGAAACTTTTTATTTAATTTGAAGAGCCAAGTTTCAATTTATACTTGTGAATTGCTTATGCTTATGGAATCCAAATATGCTTTGAAAAGTATATTTATCACTAAGAAACGACTATAAAATTTCAAAATCAAGACACACTATTTCGATTCTCACTAAATTTCTTACGGCAAAAATAACTTCACCCGTTCAACTAAAATTAATTATTTATTTCAAGAAATTTAAGCTCTAAAGTGAATCGTAACACTGAAAGATATTAGAGAGCAAATCTAATTACAGTATCTTAAAAATTATTTAATGGAGAAGGGAAAATTTAATTCTCCTTACAGGACTATTTAATTATAAGACAGTTGTTTTATTATTATTGTTAAATTAAGAGCATATAAAATTATAGCTTAGTAGCATAAAACAAATATTCAGAGGAAAATATTTCTTTTTCATAAAAAATTATGCTCTTATATCACTAGCCTTTTAATGATATACTTTCAAAATGTAAAATTTGTCGTCTTATTTTTGGCTTTTGTCCAATTATTTAATATGCAAATTGAAATATAAATTAACTTTCTTAAGAAATTAATTAACGCAATATTTAAAATAGTTATAATTTATTGCAAAAATGAAATATTTGATTAGTATTCAATTATATTTTTAATTAGCTTTTAAACGTCAATATAATAAAACAAAATATTATCTCGTCAATCTTTAACTCAATCATGTTCAATGCAGTTAGACTAGTGTTTTTAAGTTAAATTCATGTATATTACGATGTACAATAGAAGAGTCGCCATAAATTGTTACTCACGAGCAAGAAATAATATGGAAAAATCAGGTTTGGTAAATCCTTAGATTTACCAATTGACATTTATATTCGATAAGATATATCGATATTAATTGTTAACAATAAACATAATGTAGTAGGTTTTTCATTAAAATACGAATAAGAGAAGAAGACTTTCAATTAAATAATGAATAATAGCAATATAGTGAATATTTTTGCAGTTGCTAATCAGACGAATAAAAACTAATGTAATTGAAATTGTATCTTATAAAATATATTTCCATCGTTTAAAATAATTTTCTTATAGATATATATATATATATGTGTGTGTGTGTGTATATATATGTTGAAGGTTTAATCGATCAATATTTCTCAAATGGAACATTATTTCAAACTTTGTGAGTGAAAAAAAAACTGTTTAATTACATTTAACTTCATAAATGCACCTTCAGATGTTTACATAAAAAATAGTCGATTACTTTATATCTAAACGAATGAAAATTATATGAATATTGATGTTATTGTATCGTGCCGTCAATAAAATTACATTTATGCCTAAAATAATTCGTTTCCTTATTCCTCCATTCACAATATTATTAAAGAAAAATTACTATATTAATGGGCAAAATGTATCTATGGAAAGTTTTACGAAAGAAGTAGAATATATGGTAATTGAATAGAAAAATGCAATCCACATTTGTGAATACGTTAAGAAATCCGCAGATATACATATACTTGATAAATATGTATGAATTTTTCAAAGAAATATTAAATTTCAATACGATATGTGAATTAAGAAGATGTATGAATGTTCAGGTTAATTATAATAAAATCGTTGATCATCGATTCATTCAAGTCAATTCTCTATTAAAAGTTTATTTAAAAGAAGCTGTTTTTTATTCCAATGATTATACCAATATCTTTCTCCCATTTCAACTTAATTTTAAAAGAAAGTACAAGAATAATACATTATACACTACCATTAACAAAAATAACAACAACGACGACGACGACAACGACAAATGTTGGTCCTTGGTGTAACATGTTTAATTTTTTATTAAATTGAATCTGTTGATATTCGTGACAGATTGTCAATAAAAATAATAATAATAAAAAAAAAAAAAAAAAAAAAAAAAAAAAAAAAAAAAAAAAAAAAAAAAAAAAAATAAATAAAAAACAAAAAAACAAAAATGAAATATAATCAGTTTTCCTAGAACCAGGGAATAAGACAGCAATAATAATTACAAATTGTCTATCAGTTTCTTCTTGAGTATTCCTTTTAAAATAATCCATTCTTAGTCGTTCAACTAATTATTAATAAATATTTATTAATAAATTGTTAATAAATAAAAAATTAATAAATAAGCATATACATGGAAGAACGAGGCGCTATAAGATCTATAATATTGCATTCCCAACTATTTTTATGCTGATATTTTTCTTCGATAGTACTGCCGCGACTATTACATTGTTGCTATCTTAATTATGGATCCTGCTCTTATGCGACAATCACGAAAATTTTGCTTTTAAATTAAATTTGACGCAGACCAGCCTATTATTTACGACGTAATGAAGATTTAGCACACAAAGATTTTTTTG